ACCGCTTATGAGCCAGATTGCAAAGCTTCCGAGGTCCAATAATGACACAGCTACAAAGAGATGGGCGGGGACAACGCACGCAGAGTGGAGAGTACTTTGCGTCACTAGCCCCTAGCACTCTTGCCACGCACTTTCAGGAAAAGAAAGTGGCTTACGCTCGCGCCCTCGTGGACTACCGACTCGCAAACCCTATTCCAGGAACAATGTCTATCTTCCAGTTAATCGTATCGTATCGTGACTTTTGGTATTTTGCCCCGAAACGACCTCGTTGGTCCAACAACAAATAAATCGTAAACATAAGGGAATGACAGATCTTTTAGAGGAGAAATATACCATTTTTTAGCGTTTCAAGCGAAATCCTGGGAGAAGCGATTAAAATACTATCCGGATGACTCAGTCTTCTGTATATGGAAACCATGAGCGGTTTAGAACAATTCTAATCATGCATTCTGCTTGGATAATTTCAGATTAGGTATTAATTCCGTTGCGCACTTAGCTGATTGTACATTTGGCTTACTTGCAATGATTCAGCGAGTTTTTCTGGTCGTTTGATGCGAGACCTCCTAACCTCCCCTTCGAAGCCATCTTCTCAAAAAAACAAATTCATTGTAGGGAGGGCGAGGGTAGGGAAGTGGGGATGGGGTGGGAGGTAGGGATGGCAAAGAACTTTGGAAACAATAGTGGTGGACAAGAGAAACTTTACATAACTGGCGGTGGTATCGGGTTAATCAGATCTTCTGAAATGTTTAGGCTCGATTTTTGCATTTCAGCAGAATTTCTATTTTCGCTGTGATCTGATAGACAATATGGTAACCATTATATGCAATTCAGTCAGCACAGCACTCCTGGACACTGACATTCCACTACTCAGAAAAAGCGCCCTTTCGGATAGAGCTTTTTGAAATGGAATCCAGGAGTCTCTTCTTCCAATCTTGCTACTGAATACCCTGTTTGATACAATTCTGCTAACCACTTCTGATACCCCCGAAAGTGGAAAATAAAAAAAATAAACGGACCCGGATGCTCTTCTCCACTTGAAGTGCGTACGGTTGATTTTGGTACATTTGAATCTCTCGAATCAAGTCCGATATTCGACGACACTTCAGAAACTGCACCAGTACTCGTTTGTTTGATGCCGGCGGTGACTGGGGATCGTAGGTGTCCTGTAACTGAACCGAAACGATTCTCCGAGATACCACAAGTTCGCTCAGCATAGTAAAATAAATAAAATGAATTTTCTCAGCTTTTGATTGAAAATACAAGGACGAAAAAGTGAATGAGAAGTGATTGAGAGAACACGCTGCGCCCGTGGAAAAAGCGCTCAATCTTATGGGGACATGGGTCCCGATCTGCTCTGCTCAGCCAGTTCTTGTGAAACTGGCCCTAGCCATTATTCTACGGCTTCAATTGCCAGGTGAAGCATCGTCGCGGAGAATTTTTTTAAAGGTGGAGGGAGGGGGGGGGTGCATTCAGTAGAGAGGTGCGGGTAAAGTGTAAGATTGAATAGGTATATTTCGATCGTTGTACGGCTCTGATGAAAATTCATTTGAAGCAGGATAAGTTTTTTCGGTTGTTGAATTATCGCAATTTTCGGTCCGCGCGCTACTCACCCTCCCCCTGCCTGCCTCACAAACCCTTCCCCTCTCTTCTTGGTGCCTCCACAGAAGTACTATCCATCTAATATTCTGCTAGTAGTTGAAACTGTACTTGTCTGATTACGAGTTCCCCTCTCCCCACTACTCGATGGCTTTCTAAGAAAACTGGAAATTTCCTTGCGAAATCGGCAGGCAACTGAGAGGACTTGGGGAGATGGTCGGCAAGATGAAAAAGAGGGGGGTCGTATTGAAACTGCCACTTCACACATCACGATGTCGTACCCGGTTTGAGTCACGAATTCGGTTTGGCCCTTGTGATTTATGAGCTACCACTTTACCCATGGAGTCACTGCACATTCAGCCGAACCTTATTGCTTCTAGGAGCAAGGTACAGCATCGTTGGGTGAAACACGAGGTGGGCGGGGGGTCGTACTTGGCCGCTGGGGAGGAGGGGATCGTTCTGACACCGCCACGATGCTGCACCATGTCCAGGAGACAACCGAAAAAAAACTTTTTCCAATAGCTTTCAGCGACACAATGCAGCAAATTTATCACGAGTATGCCCAAAAGCGGTTCGAAGTGATAAAAATGTCCCCCAAAAAAAGTTCAAACTAACGATGCCTAAAAGAGATCTGACATGATCAGATCGCCTGCTAGAAGTAGGCGGGGCACTTTTTGTCAAATTTCAAGCAGTACCAGCGAGCGTCATAAAAAATGGTCTTCTCCCCTATACCAGCAGCAGCTTCGAAAGTTACCACCTACTGCTGATAATAAGGTTGAGCATCCCAATGATAGAAAACGGTATATTGGTCAGAAGCAAAGACCATGAACTACTCACCGTACGCGGTACTTCACTCGATGTACCACCAGGTGATTTCACGAACGTGCTGTTGCCGGCCTCGAAGAAGAATATGTTGGAGAGGTAGTGGCCTGAAATTTCTTGTTCACTATTAAAGTAATGGGTGGAGTTCGGTAACGGGGAGAGGCATTTTGCACTTCCGCTGCTTCACTAGTTCGGTTTTACAGGTCCCACCCTGGTGAAACGTGTTAACTCTCGGAAGCTGGAGCAACCTCTTCAACCCTTCGACCACCATTACTATATTGCTTCACAAGAGTTGAGAGGTATTCCTTACAAGGGTTGACGTGTCCTGCACAAACTTCGGCTGTTTCATGTCGCTGCTCATTCCACAGGTCACAGCTTAGCTCGCCACGTCGACGGCATGCAGCAAAAGTGCAAAAAGCCCCCCCCCCGTCGCCGAAATGCACCAAGTGATGTTACATATTCGCGCAGAGAGGCTATTTCGAGTAAGAGGATGCTCGGTGCTTGACTAAGCAATCGTATTGAAAATAATGAGCTTTTCGCGCAGCATCATAGCAATAAAGAGATCATGTATGAAAATGTGTAATCTAATCTGCTCCTACAGAATTCTCGTCAGGTTATAACAACAACTTACGCCAAAGGAAAATGAAAAGTAAAAACGGCGCTATTTGCCTTGGAGGGAGCATTTTGAACTCAGGTTACAGCATCGTGACTTGTGAAATGGTGGGTTCCAGTACAACCCCCCCCCTCGAGAAAGGGTCTCGGTACGACCCCCCCCTTCCCTAACACCTACCTACCTACCACCTACAAGTTCCAGCTTCCTACCTGCCAGATTTTCCGAAATTTCCCACATTTTTCAAAGTTTCCACCAAAAATTTTCCGTCAAGCGGGGGAGGGGGAG